GCAGGGAATCTGTGGAGTTATCTTGATCAGGATAATGTCACTTTAAATTCCCACATTAAAACAAACTCTAGGACTCCCTTCTTTCTATTTACGTGAATATTACAAAAAATTGACACATTCCTGTCACAGATGGGGGATGCCAGAAAAACTAATCCATACATTTTGTTATTCTAGGCTCGGATTACTGCAACTCCTCTTTAGTTATCAGGTGACAACACACACCCAAACCCTCCCCTAATAAGTCCATAAACGCTCCAATTAATTCAAAACGCCTGCAGAACGAGTGACTGACAGAACTGAGAAAAAGAGATCTAGTGCTCTGCCTGCTACTAGCTTTCTAATTGGGCTCCCTGTGGAAATTGTAGTGTATAGAATTTAAAAAATTCTCCTGGCCTCAGCGTATAAAGCTCTTCGGGCGGATAGGGTCGGCCCCCGTTCATATCTTAAAGAGGCTCCATAGGTACCCTATTAGCCGCGACTAGCAACACTGCCGGTTCTTCTAGAATATAAGGTAGGTTGGAGGATAAAGAGAAGGTTAAGGAAGATTTTGCGTATGTCGTTCACATTGCACAGTGGTAATACATATTACAATGCCACAGTGAAATGCGATCTTGTACTGCAGCCAGTTTAGTAAAGAAAAACAAAGTACTAACTACAGTAAAACAGTAGTAATTGCAGCATAACACCACAAGGTAAACAATATATGGTAAAATATAAAACTAAGAAAGAAGAAGATAATTAAAATAGACTGCTGTTAAAATTAAAATAGTAGACTGGTAAAGCTCTGGGTAAAACTTTAGAGGGGGTAGCTCGTGATAATATACAGCACGTTGTACGTAGTTGAAAGCCAAGCTATGCTGGGGAGTAAAGTACAGGTGGTGCAGATGTTTTTTTAAGTCCAGTTGAAGGCTCGGAGAGTTGGAGGCAGCGGATGGGCATGTGGATATAAGACTCTTCTTCAGGCCTCTCATGTCTTTTGTCCTCAGGCAGTCGGAGGAACGCCGAAGCCTGATAGGGCAGGTAGAGAGGAAGCAAAGATGACTGGGGTGACTGGGCTGGGGGGTTTTGGCAGGCTTCTGTCTCCTTACGCCATGGCAACGTTGGTGATAAATGTCCTGCAGGTTGCGGAGGAGCGGGTTCTGGATGGTGCCGATCCTGCAGAACGGAGCCACCCTACTATTGCAGGGCCATAAGTCCATGTCTGTGCAGTTTCCAGTTCCAGGGTGGTGATGCCTGCCCACACAAGGATCGCTCTTTGGGGATCGTACAGGGTGTAAAAGTTCCTGAGGCACGTTTGAGGAGGGAGCTTTAAAGTCTGAGAGCGGTAGAGAGCGCTGTCTGAGCTTTGCAGGTTTCACCAATGGGTGGTTCAGCTGAGTCCCATGACAGGTCCTGGCTGAGATATTGGTCACTCCGGGTATGCTGAAAATTGTCCAGCTCTTTCCACGCTGCAGCAGCCCACGGATAGTGAGTGGAGGAGAGTCTCCTGTCTGGGTGCTGCCTTCCTGCTGAAGTCCCAATCAGGTTCTTAGTTTTGCTGAGTTCAGCAGAGTGGTGGGTTCTCCAGACCCAGTCCTCCAGGTGGGAGAGCATTCCCTGCCTTCTGACGGGGTGTTCGATCGGTCGTGGGAGCATTCATGCCTACAACAGCGGTGGCTCGTCAGGAAACTTTGATGGCATGATGTTTGGGTCTGAGGGCCAGGGCGTGGCCACGCAGTCCTGGTGTGCTTACGGCCCGAATACACAGAGGGCTGAGCACACAACCTGGGGGGATCCCGAGGTGCCAGTGTTGAGAGTCAGGGGGGCTGAAGTGTAGTGACCCACTCGAACCACCTGTGGTCTGCCAGTCAGGAAGCTGTAGATCCACCTGCACAGGGAGGAGTCCAGACCCAGGTCAAGCAGTTTGGAGGCCAGTCTGGAGGGGACTATAGTGTTAAATGCTGAGCTGTAGTCAACAAACAGCACTCTCACATAGTTTCCCTTACCAGTGTCCACATGGGAAAGGGTCTTGTGGAGGAGGAAGGTTATGGCGTCATCTGTGGATCTGTCCGGCCGGTATGCGAACTGTAGTGGATCCAGGGTGGTGGGCAGTGTAGAGGTGATAAATGTCTTGATCAATCTTTCAAAACATTTCATCACCACAGATGTGAGGGCTATGGGCCTGAAGTCATTGGAACTGCTGGGGTGTGGTTTCTTTGGGACAGGGACTATTATGGATTTCTTAAAGCAGGTTGGAATCACACACTGTCTGAGTGAGAGGTTGAATATCACTGTAAACGGAGGTGCCAGCTGATCAGCGCAGGTTTTGAGGATACGTCCACTAATCCCGTCTGGTCCAGCCGCTTTCCTGGTGTACACACTTTTAAACACCCTCCTCACGTCACGCTCCATCACGGCAAGTGTGACCTCCCCTCCGGCTGGGAGCGCAGCGGGCAGTCGATTTCCCGAATTAAAGCGCGCAAAAAAGTTGTTGAGTTCGTCAGCGACACCTAATTAATTGTTCTGAAAATGAACTTTATTACGTCTCATTCGAGTGCTGCAAGGAGAACACATTTTTGTAGGCCAACCAGGAAGTTAGCATCAACCTGGTTCCTTTAACAAAACATTAGTCGGATTTTTCCAATATAGTTTGGATTATTGCAGATTTATGATAATTACACACAATATAATTAGACTTTTGAAGCATAAATGCAAACACCATAAGTGAAAAACTACACTACGGTCGCACTGACTTAAACGTCATCCCCACTAAACCTCCAACATATAATTAAATAATAAATTAACTAAATCCCCATGAGCTAATTATCTTGTTATGTAAACATAATGTATTTTCTACTGATCATCACTCAATAATCTATTTTTTTTTTGTTGATTTTGGTTTCAGTGTATTTTTATTACTTTTGTTTATATTTGTTATCCCTAGATAAAAGTGCAGATAATCATTTTGTCGTCTCGACATATCAAACTTATCTCACAGTTACGATTTATTTTACTTTTGGGATATTGAGGTAATTTCTCCACCCAGAGGTAAAATTTGACCCACAGAACGTTGACTCTTCTATTATTCAACATTACAAGTTAAAAGGCCAAACTGCTTTTGTTTCAGTTGGTTGGAGCTACTTTTAGTCATCCACACCTCTTTCCTTCCTTCCTGCTCCCCTCCTCTCTCTCTCTCTTTGTCTCACTCTCTCTCTCGTTATACGACAGTAAGTTTCTAGGAACAACAGTTCTTATGACGCTTCATGCACATAAATGAAGGTAATAAACAGAATACACACTATAAAACAAATCAAACTAACAATTACAAACAGCACCTCCTGGTTTCTATTGATGTGCCACAACTATGTAATTACTATTCAGATTTAAGGGAAATCTGAGTAATTGACATAAAGATCAAACTAAACCTGCTTTATTTTGTGCTTTAATCTGTGCAGGGTTGAAAGGTGTCTGTCTCATTCTAACGCCATTCAACACATGAAAAGAAACAACTTTCATACTTAATGGTGTTTTATTATTGATTGATTATTAATACTCTGTTCCAATTCTGGAGTTTCAGTTATTATAAAGGACCAGTGTGCAACATTTTGGACAGTGTTTCTCAAATGGGGATATGCATACCCCTAGGGGTACTTTGGACTCCTGCAGGGGGTTTGTGAGATTTATTTCTTAATTAAAAAATATCAGTCATGCATAATTCCTGAAATAAAAGTTCAATAAAACATGTAAATGTAAGTTTGATAAACCACATTTTATATTCAATATTCCCATTTTCCAATGCAAATTAAATGCCGTCTTAGTGTTACTGCATGATGACAAAACATTTTTTTTAAAATCAACTAAAAGTTTCGCGAAGGCTGAGTTATGTTCAAATGGTTTGCAATCTGCAACTTCACCACCAGATGCCACTAAATCCTTTAAACTGGACCTTTAATGTGAATGTCAATGAGATTTTGAATGAGGTTTTCTTCCTTGTGCAACAGAAGTTACACTCACTGAATCCACAGCACAGATGAATATACAAACTCTGCTCTGGCTTTATCGAAATCTGGATTTCACTGTTCAATACTTTGTACAATTATTTGGATTTAAAACCTGGAAACAATGTTCTGAAGATCAGTCAGTCAGTCAGAGTCCAAGACAACATGAGTCAGAGCTCCATTGTTTTTATGTCATGTTTATGTACAGATTACAGGTAACAATATATATGTAGATAAAGAGGTTACAGCACTACTCAGTGGCTAATGTTCCCCACTATTACAACATTAAAGTTGATTAGTAATACAGTTAAAAACCACGTATCGTATGTAATTAGCATCAGGTGTACTCTGACTGAGCTGTAATGCCCACACAGCAGAAGGTTAAAGGGACGCTAATATTTTTTATTTTACGTTTGTAGTTTAAGTTATAACTCAATATGGAAATAATCTGTTACCTATTATTCTTGATTAGAACTGAAAAGGGTGTTTGTTAGCTAGCTAACTGTATTATATATTTATCTAACCAACACTGTCGTAGTGGTTGTAAACTTAATAGCATGCTTGCTAACGTATTAGAGACTACTGTTAGTATGTTAGAATTTATATTAATTACTAGTTAGAAAGCTAATTGTTAGCTGAGTTTAAAGTTTACCGACATTTTTGGCATCTTTGAAAAGTTTTAAATAAAGTTTAGTACAGATTTCAATCAGGACTTTTGTCGCATTTATCAATGCAATAATAGTAATTCTCAATAAAAATGTTATTTATTCATCATTAAGTGCAGGAGAAATAATAAAACATTAAAAGCTGTTTTAATTAATATATTTAAAATCAGCAGACTATTTCTGTAGCTAACAAACTTTAGCTCATTAGCACCAGAACATTTAGGTGTGGAGCATTGATTTGAACCTCTGGACTGGACTAGAATGTTTACATGAGCTGAAGTTGGTGCTTTCAATAGCTAACATAGAAAAGGAACTTTAACAATTAGCTAAAATTGGCTACTTAATTAGCTAGTGTTAGCAAAAGAAAGCAAAAAGACGAGTGGAAACTAGGGGACCTGTAAAATAAAGCCTTACGCACAAAGTTCAATTCCTATTGTAGTTACAGCAATAGCATAAAGGCTGAAATACTAAACATTTCAATTAAATTAAAGTGAATACAGATTATTCTTTACTCTGTGACAACTGTCTATAATTGAAAATGTCTAGCGTCCCTTTAAGCTCCATCAACAGTCAACAACAATAAAGTACAGGACACGAACCACCACCGACTGTACATACACAATACTACGTCAGAGGCAGTGTGTGTTGTTGTACCCGCTGCTGCAGTGGGTATGGAGGCTGGGTTCCACTCATTTCACTTCAGTCAGTTCAAAACGGGGAATTATGTCACCATCACACTGTAATATCTCTTTGTAAGCATTTTGAGTTTGAAATTGATCCAAATCCTGAACCGACTGGATCGATGATGGTCCCAGGAGGCGTGTCGACCATGTACACAAAGAGACACAGGTCCAAAGTCTCTTGATTGTATCACAAGAAAAAGGAATAAATATAAAATAATTTGGTACATAGAAAAAGAACAGTCTTCAAAGTTTCTCTCTCTATTGTCCGTCAACGGTCCTAAACGTTCCCAGTTTTAGCAGCAAGATCTCCGTGTTTGTGGTCCATGGAATGAAATGTAACTGCCCACATTAGGTTTAATAGCACTTTAACATGTACTGTACAATGTTACCCCATTCACACAGAGCAGATTAGATGTGTATGTTAATGTTCTTCATTACTGGCATTACTGTAGAAACCTCAGATCTCTAAAAACAACCCCAGGAACTGATAAAACCACCTCAGTATTTTCTCAATATTGTCACCAGCCAGAATATTATTGTCACATCATTTAGATACTGAGGCTTAAACAAGGGTGTGTGACTTAAGTCATCTAGGTTTTGACTTAAAAGAAAGTTAGTTTTCGATTCCTGTTCCGTTGATGATTTAGAGATGAGGTTTGTACCCCAAATAACTTCCGTGCGAGTCGACAAATGGCTGATAGCTGCTAAACACCTCAAAAACATGTAAAAACAGTATAAAAATAAAGTTATTATTACTTTGATACACCAAAATAACGTACTCACTAGATTAACATGATTTACAACAGCACACCGATGAGATGACTGCACCATTAAATTATTTCACATTTTTGGTATAAAGCAATATATTATTACACAAACAGGGGAATTGTCAATGCAACTATACAGAGTGAAAACTCTGAGACCAAGCAGCACAAAATGTTCTGGATTATTTGTTGTGTCAGGAAAAACTGTGTTTTCAAAGTGGTCCTGTGCTAAAAACTAAACTTTAATTAAAATGTCAATATATTTAAAACAGTATTAACTTTAAATATGGATCAAATATGTAAATTGTGACTGAAAATGATTAGCCACGCTATTTTTGAGCTAGCTTGTGTTGCGCTGGCCTCCATTTCTTTGTCTTTTATAAATTTTATTAATTGGTCTTTCTAAAAAGGTTTTAACATGATAGTGTTCATTTTAAGATAATCTCTATTACTACAATCATTTTAACAAAGATAAAACAATTATTTTGTCAGCATTCGAAAACTACAGCTCCCATAATTCTTAGACTGCGGTCAACAGGAGCTGTACTTGTTGAATAGTATAAAAAAATAATTGTTCTAACTTATTTTTATTGTACACGTATGGTTTAGCAGTGGCAGTTTAATTGATTTAACAAAATATTGCATTAGCGCAGCGCACTAGTAATAGCAGGAGCTTATACAGTAGGTTAGCATCCATTTATTGACAATAAAGCATACGGATTAACACTTAACTACTAAAGCTAGAATTAGTACTACAAGATACTAGTTTAGCAGAAGCTAATTAATCATTACATTGGTTTTTGGTGGTCTATGGCTGGAGGTAGCCCCATTTGTGACTTCAGTACTCCGTAAGTTACCGAGCCGTGGACAAAACGTACGTCCGGCGAGAATGAGCAGAAATAAAGATTATAAAATTGGTTTTGCTCTGGACAAAAGTTGTATTTGATTACTCTTGATCAGAGTATTAGCTCACGTACTCAAAACTGTCTGGTTAAACAGAAAAGCACATTTGCAAAAGTAGCATTAGCACAAAACACAAAATGTCTTTACTAAATGATTCTGCTGCCTAGTTAGCAAGCTAACATTTCAGGTTACTTGACGTGAAAGTTTAATGACATTTAGTATCTCTGAAGAGTTTAAAATGAAGTTAAGACACCTTTGAGATGATGGAAATACCTTTTAAAAGATACCTCCTGGATAAAGCTTTATTTCTGTACTAATCACAGAGTAACGTACAGAGCGCGGAGGTCACAAAAGGAGCTGGACGGTTGGTTCAGCAGTGGTATAGTAGTTTAACCAAAGGTGCAATGAGCTAACAGTCATTTACCAATAGCCTTTCCGATAAGAACACCACATTACAAAATAATTTTAAAATCTTATAAGACACAGAAAACACAACAGTGTTATTGAACATCGTACCATCAATTTCAGTCAAACTATTTCTATGTTTCCATGACAGAAAAGAGGTAAGAGGACAGTCTGGTTAGCTAAAAACGACACGATCCGAGAGAAGTGAAGTGTCTTCTTCTGAAGGATCACTCGCCAACAACACAAGAAGAAAAACAGCAGAAAAAGAAGAACGGATACATTCCTTTTTCAGAAATTTACCTTTTCCTCTATCCTTCAACGGGCTCCAGCTACAACTGTCCTCATTGGTTGTCCATCAAAACTCAAAGACCTCCTCCAGAGTCCCCTAATCTCAGAGAACTGCCAAATCTCAGAGATCATACCTGCTAAAGACTCGCTATGTTAGCATGCCTCCAGGTTTAAGTCCACAACCTCCTGCAGCGATGTGCGCTCATTGGCCGGTTTCTGCAGATAGGCGGGCCTCATACAGACTCAAGGCGTGATGGACGAACTCATACTGCTCACCTGTCTGGATCATACCTCCCCTGCACAGACAGACAGACGTACTGTTAGTTGACTGTCAATACTGATAACAATGTACACTATAAGCATTTATATACATTTAAATCAGGATAATGTATAAAGTTTAAATGCTTTTTTACCATCTTGAGGAATAACATTTATGAAAAAAGGTTTGTTTTTGATACTGCCATGAACACTAACATGCAGAAATTAAAAATTAATTTCAACACAGAACATAATACAACAAAAACACATGAAGGCTGGACAAAATTGTGGTAAGGGGGACAAAACTCATGTAAACAGGTTGTGGGGACATAACATCTGTTTACACACTAACATTGTGGGGACCTAACAACTGTTTACACACTGACATTGTGGGGACCTAACAACTGTTTACACACTGACATTGTGGGGTCGTCTCAACAACTCAATGTAAAGATGTAAAAAGCAGCAAATAGACACAAACTAATTTTAGTTTTCCCAAACTTTATTTATTTTAAAGAATGACCAGCCATTGCGATCCAATTCACAGCGAAGAGCAAATTTGTGCTTAAATGGACGTTCCTGACCATTAAAACCCATTGAAACTAATGGAAAACAGCCCCTGAAATGACTGTTTTCACCTGCTGTATGACTAATAATTAGTTCTGTGCAATTTTTATTTATATGGATTATATAGATAGCTATATATATATATAGCTTGTTGCATATGTGTACTGAAAATAATAAGAATCCCTCCATTTTTACTGCTTATTGAGGACATTTTCAGAAAAAAACGTATAACGTATAATCTCTTGTGCCCATAGGATAAGAAATTGTCTGTATCTCAGAAACTACAAAAGTATTTAAGTTAAAATGTTAAATGAAAGTTAAATGTCAAAGATATGCACACATATGCTGTGTAAACTAAATATTTCATTCAGGAAAACATAGAATAAACACAATTTTAATGTTTTCCCTCATTTATGACCACTGACAAAATTGTGGTTTTTAATTTTATCTAAAAATGTCGAGACCTTTAGACCGATCAGAACAAACTTTATTTTTACGTCTCATATTGGGTTAACATGAATCAATACGTCCTTGTTACCTGTCGGCTCGGAGCTGGCAAGTGATGCTCAGGACATCCACCACTCCCTCCAGCTGTAGCTGTCGACAGCCTATCGTCGTGGCAATGAAGCAGCCTGTCCGTCCAATCCCGGCACTGCAAGCAGAGAGGAGTGTGGGTAATGGAGTTATTTAAAAGCATCTTTCAGTAGCGGCAGATGAAGCCGATTTCCCGCTCTCTTTATACCTGCAGTGGACGATAACCGGCCCCGTGGTTGCAGCCGTCCGTCTGTCCGCCTCGACGTCGGCCATCAGCTGCAGCAGCGGCATCGTTGAGTCGGGGGTTTTGTGGTCGGGCCACGATGTGTACCAGTAATGCTGCAGCACACGGGTTTGATTCCCACACTGAACACACACACAGATAATGTGAATCCCGAGCACTTAAAGACATTACTGAACACAGAAATATTAAAACGTGTGAGTACCTTGAGAGTGAGGCTGCGGGTCGTGTAGTGTTCACACTCTCTGATGCTGTTCACCAACACTTCGACCTTCCCATAGATTCCCCGTTTCTCCGGCCAATACAGAACACACTTCTACAGAGAGAAAGAGATATAGATCATGCCTGTTGGTTTTAGCATGTTTATCCCATTTACTACAGATGACCTGTGAAGTACTTTCTTTTCCTGCTCGGTATTTTCAAAATAAGACTGATTTCTAATTTAAAAGTTACTGGTTTCATTTCGTTTTTAGGTAAAACAACTTTCAGGTGAATTTTGTTGGCAGAATGATGTCGTTACCTCGTTCTTCTCCTTCAGTTTGGTGATCATGACGATGACGGGCGACTCTTCCTGCCAGGCCATCTGCCAGAAGTCATTCACCGTGTTCACCATGGGACCCTGAGTGGCGATGAACGCTTTCTCATCGCCTAGGTAACCCTGGGACAGTAGCCAATCACACAACAGTGTCAGCAGCCTCATGGGGGCGTATTTTAGCATCTTTTTTCTAACAGTAGGAAATCTAAAACACCTGAAGTTATTATTAATGATCAATATTTAGGTATTTAGTATTTATATGGAATTTTCTTTTCTAGAGGTGAAAACTGAACATTGTAGAAATTGATTCTGGGCACAAAACAGTTTAAAACAAACTGTTGTTAGGACTTTTGAGCTGTTGTATAGGAAAAGATGTAAGCAATATATTACTTTTTGTGCCAAATACAAAGTTTGTTTAGTGTTTGTGAATATTACTCAAAATATTATAATACAGTATGCACATTGCACACCTGGAGAAAAAACGTTATTTACTTCCTATATACTGCTTTTTAGATAAATACACAAGAAACTTTATCAAGAAAACACACATTAAGAACAATACTTTTATTAATAGAGAACCGACTCCAGTAAATAAAATCCAAAACAAAAAATGAAAACAGCATTAAACAATTTTAAAAAATACCTCAGCAAAGAAAATCCATAGTATAAAAGTGAGTTTTAAGAGGATGTTTAAGGAGGATAACAGGTTTCCTGCCCAGGTCTGTGATATTTTCTGCATTCAGATGTTTATCATAAAACAGGTCTAATCATAATGTGGTAATCGGACCCATATTTTTTACGTACTGATCCCTTTCATGTGATAAACGTACTTTGGATGGACTAAAATTAGCCCAGCGTTGGTATTTACAGTAGGATGAAGAATCTGAAAACAGCTTCTGTTCTCTTCATGTCTGACAGTTTAAACAGTTTTAGTGGAGCTTCCTAACAGGAAGAAAGTCCATTGTATCCGAGTCTGAGAGCGACATTACAGACTTCAACAAGAGCACACTTTCACTGTGTGTGTGTGTGTGTGTGTGTGAGGAAACTGTTGACATTCCTCATAAGTGATGTGATTATGTCAGTGTTTGTTCTCAGGTTCAGAGAAGATTTAACAAATAAATGGTGTCATAATTAACTGAATCAGAAAGACGTTAGAAATGAATGATGAGTTCCTCAAAGTCAGGAAGTAGTGAGTGAAAATTATAAGTCACACACCAGTGGAGTTAATTTGCTCACACACACTATACTTCAAGCTTATAGATGAGATTTAAAATCATTAATATATCAGCAAACAGCTATTCTTCCTCTGAAACTGCTGTTCTTATCATCTATGTTCAATGAATTAAGGATTTATTTCCACC